TAGGGGGCACAGTTCACGGTTGACCGCACGCCCTTCCGTATGCAGGCGGCAGCATTAGCCGCGTGCCGCGCGATTAAGGGAAGCTGACAGGTGCCCCCGTGTAAACGTGCTTAATGAACACGTCTCCGCTGCTCAGTATTACCACTGGCGGGTTGAGTGTTTATAAGGGAGGCGGCCACCTTTTCGGCCACCACAAGACGTACACGCATCATCGAGTAACAATCGCCGGCCACATTCTCTCGCACAGTGAGTACACGTATCGTCGCCGCCGACCTTTCCGCCACCTCGTACGCACGAAGGTACAAATTTTTAGCGAACGTCATCGTATCACACTGCTGGACACACACGCACCTTCCGGCCGCGCACACAGATAGGAAAATATTTCACTGTAAGTTTGATGATAAACACACGTCCGCGATTATCCCTTTCTTTTCTTTTTCGTATTCTTCCTCGTCCTATGCGGCCAGGACGTGGTCCTCTCTCACATGTCTGCGGTGCGCGTACGCTGACACATGGGATCTACGGTTTTAATAACGCCGGTCTCGAACGGCAAATTTCTTCGAGAAGCGTTCATGGCGAAGAATACTCTTCTCTCTCGGTAGGTTGCCGCTTCTTTCCGAGAGGAGACACGAGCGTAGATAATACTTTGGCTTTTACCGGGATCGAACCCGGGACCGCCGCTACATAGTGGACCAGTGCGCTGTCCGTTATGCCATGCTCGCGCTCAATTATCCGCATTATGACCGTGATATAAGTTTGTATTTATGAGAGACCGCTTTTTCTCCTCTCGTATCGAAGGAAAAAGCCCTTTAATAATTCAACGAAGTGCGCTTGAGACGCTTCTTGCGGCGGCACAATTCGCCGGGTATCTTTTGGATACGTTCGAAGCGGTTCGAGGAGGAACGCGCGCGATTTAATCGGTTCCCGCTCGGCATTTCACACTTAGATCGCTGCTAATCACCAGTCGAACGTTTCTTCGTTTTTCTTTTTCAAACATCCGTATATACGGAGCCTGCTTTATTGACCTGTTGCCGATTTTTAATCTCAACGATTACAGACGTGTTACAGACTACCGAACGGATGTATGTAATCATTTATTTAATGGTGATAATTCGCGATTAGGGAGGAAGCTTCGGCACTTTCTCTGTAAGGAAAGTAAATGTCAGGCTAAAATTCGAGACTGATTTAATGTCAAATCTTAGGCAGTGCGATCGTCTTAATAACGTTACTGAGTTAATAAAAATTCATGCCCCAATTCGTGCCAATGATTTTTATTTTGAACATTCTTACTTCATATTTCCGTTGTCATACGAAGCCATATTTCGGACATGCGCGTTGACATTTAACATCGAAAGTAGTAGCCTGTTTTTGAATTTGATTTATGTTGCATGAAAGTCACGTATAATATTATTCCAATTTGATATTTAAACACGGCCGCAATTTCAAACGGGCAGGATACGCGACATAGCTTTTTGCGTGGTCGAACTCTCGTCGCTTATAGTGATTTTTGCAACACTTTACGAACTTTTTCCGATATTTATGATGCAAGCTGCTCGCCGAGGCGATAAATATTGCTCATCCCATCACGCGAGTTATGGCAAACAAATATCACGAGTAAAGTACGATGCTAATATTGCGAATAAAAGCCGCGCTGGCCTTTATTGATCACGATCGTTGACCGTGTCGTCATATAAGATATCTCGGTTTGTTTATTTTGTTTCCTATATTCTTCGTCGTTATTTATCGAGAAAGTTCGAGACAGTGTCCCTGTGTGTGTATCGTTTGACTAATACGGCCAGATATTTTGTATGTCCGAACCAAAATCTAAATTTCAAAACAAACAGGTCGTGGTATAAAAACAAGAAATTATAACAGCTAAAAATAGCACAGATACGTGTTTATTTTCATATAAAATACAAACGATCCGCTTTAATATTAAATTACACGCGGTTGCGAGGGCAAAACAGAAGTGCTTTACGTCCTGTGGGACGTTATTAGTTAAATAGTATTGAATATTTAAGCCGGTTATATTTTCGACAGTTACCTACAGTGTGAGTCATCGATAATATAATTATCTCATTTAAGACCTCGTATATATGTATAGTTAAAAATATGAGTGCATAATAGATGAAACAATTCAAGTTACATTGGGCACAAACAGGGGTGGAAAAAGGGGGATGAAAGGAGGCGTGTGCAGCCCACTTCGTCGTGCAAAAACTTGACTGTTGTGGATAAACCTGGGTAGGGAATGAGCAACGTCACGCGAGCCGCGCTATACTTGAAGATTCTTCGTATTACCGCAATATGCCTTACAATTAACTTATCGTTAGATCGCTTCACGTCCCTACACATCCGATTTCTTGGAAAAAAAGCTCGCGAAAGGCTTTCTATCTTCTCGATCTAATAAACGTGACTTTCTTGAATTCTTTTGCTAACTGTACTGCACCGAATATTACTAGCAACGGCTGATCTAAAATCCTTCTTTCAGATCTCCAATACACACACACACACACAACAATAAGATATGTTATATACAATATTATACATTTATATTTTATTCATATATATATATATATATATATATATATATATATATAAGCATAAAATTTATTATTATTATTAAATATTATACATTACATATATATATATATATTTTTTTTTTAATAAAATAGTATATTTTATTATTATTATTATCGGATTGTGTGTGTGTAGAAGACTTTCAAATTTGGACGCGGTTCATATCAAACGTAAAGTAATGTCTCTGAATTATCGCGTTATTAAGAGCCCGTCAAGTGTTGAGAAGCACGTCATTATTTCCGAGACAGGTGAAATTGTAATTTTCATGTAGGAAAATCCGTTGCTTGCTTCTATTCACGTGTCCAGTAATAGGTCCCATTAGGGCTGGCCATGTAAGTAGGACAGCAGTACTTTCCGTTTACGAGGACAATTACCCGCGTGAAGCGGTGCTTCGCTGACTCAATTGCAGGATTGTGATCGGTTAAGAGGAGGATAGCATCTGCCCGACACTTGTACTTCGAGATCGGAGTACCCTGCCGATGATAGAGTCTTAATGACAAAAGAGTGCGGTTGTTCAGAATGTCTACAGATGTTGAGCAGTCTCTATTTGCATTTATATCGTACACTGTTTCCATTATAGTTTTAAAATCTCGGAAAAATTGGATTCTTTTCCATTTTTCCAGTTTTATCGGTTTCTTCGTGGATGAATAAAAAAATTTTTTTCTTTTTACCGGATATTTTCGGCTTTTTTCGGAAAAATTTGAAAAAATGTGTTTTTTTTTATAACTATAGTCACATATGTAAAATAAATGTAAAGTCTCGGTAATCTAAACATCGCAAGTTCATGGAATTATAATCAGATGCACGTGACAAACACTTCTCGCAAACTAAATAGCAAGAATAACGCAAATGGACGATCTGCCTCTGTTCGGCTTTATTCACGACTGGTCTTGATTCCAACAATCCAGATTTCAACGAAATTTGTATTTCATCTTACCGAAATATTCGAAAGTCAGTGCGCTCCAACATCGAAAGTCTCGGAACTCGGCTAAATGGTTATGTGGAAGAGACAAGTGGTGTAATTAGGGGCGTGAAACTTACTTGATTTCGCGATAAAGCGCCGCGATGTAAGCTCGGTGAGGAGCAGGCGGGTCACTGTCTGTCAGACGCGACAGACGGCGATCGCGATCGTGCCAAAAAGAAAGAGAGAGTGCACTGAGAGACAGTACGATCTGGCTGTGACACATGTTCGCAGACAACTGTCCGCAATTGGCCGTCTGCGGAGGCGGAGGCTGGAAGAATATACGACAAAAAAAGAACGGAGAAAGTCGACTGTCTCACGTCTTCGCACCTCGTGCACGACCTCCCGATAGAGGTCATTCAATTTGGAAGCGATCGTCGAGCGGAGACGTCGCGACACCCGCCGCGACCTGCCGCTCCCGTGGCGGGGAACGAACGGAGGGCGGGAAGGGTGCAGCGGGATCGGAGAAATTAATTCGTATCAACGGCAAGTGCAGTCACACCGAATATGGCCTATCGAGTCGCAGCTCGATAGGCGCATTCGGTGTGATTGCACTCGCCGTTGATACGAATTCCCAACGTGGGAACTTTTTTCCTCGATCGCGAATATAAAATTTTGTTTGTACGTCCCCAACAGAGTTCGGTTTGATTTACGATTTTGTTTTCTCGTCGATCGCGCCGTTACTTCGCCGGGAATTTCGGAGAACAATGCCGGGCGATCAGCTGGTTGATCTGAGAGTCAATTGTGTATCTTAAAACGTAATGGGAATTACAAAAGTGGGCAAATTTACTAAAATATTTATAATTTCACCGGTCAACACCTAGTGCATTTATTCATTTTTATAATTTTCACTACCTTTTGAGGTATTTAATTGACTCCCTGGACTCGCTTCTGAGTTAGGGCTTTAACAGAATGTTAGTTGACTCAATCACGAACAACGGCTTTTTTGCTTCAGTGGAATAAATATAATATATAGTGAAAGAATTTTTTTTATTGAAAGCAAAATATTATTTCCTCTAAATAATACTGTTCTTTCTACCAAACAACATGGTTTATTCCGATGAAACGACACTTTCATTCAAATAAAATATTTGATATTAAATTATGTTGTTTATACTAAACAAACTCAAGTCGTGTAAACATTATTACGCTAAATTGAAAGAAATCTTTTTCTTTATGTAGGCCGCGCGTATTTCTTCTTCTTGCTCGTCGTCTTCCTTCCCTTGTCAATATTATTGGCTCTCTTTTTTACTTTCTCCCGACCACACATTCAAAAGACAGTAGATTCAAGGCTGAGAAAGAGAGAGAGAGAGCTAGCCACCTTACGCTAGTTCGTCAACGGTTTCCTCTCGAGACGGAGAACTCCTCCGAGGACAGGACAATTGCGGTCAATCAGGCTGGCATTGTCAGAAACTTGACCACACGGTTCCCAGTCGGAAGAGTCTGAGACGCTCGTCGGCGACCGAGCGGTCGAGACGTGCCTCGTCGATCCTCTCGGAAAGAGAGAAGCGTGGGGTCCGCGCTCGCGATCGTCACCGCTGGTCTCTCCGCAGGCTGGGTAATATCTCGGACCGTTAATAGGAGCTTACGATTCGATATCGGCTCGTCAGCTCGAAATCGCGGAAGAGCATTCTCGACGAGGGTCGAGCGGGACATCGGAGGATCTCATAGAAAGTAACGCAACCGTCTCGCTGCGACATTCTCGTCGCAAGGAGGACGACAAGAGAAGTAGGATACACGACTGTGATCTACATGACATGTAAGCATCTACGAGCTAGGAATAAGAAGAAGAGCACACACACCGTGCCCCTGTACACGCACTTTACACGCTAACGAAGCTGCGGGGTCAGCGTCTCGCTGGAGAACCGGATTGCGCGATCCGCTGGAGGAGCCGCTGCTTCAGCTGAGAGATCGCGGTCGCTCCCGGTGGATGATCTCGTTCGGCGCAGATTCAGCCGGAGAACAATGGAGCGATCTCGGGCGCGAAGTGCTTGTCAACGGGTGCATCGATACAGATAGTAGGAGGACTTGATCGTGACCGGCACTTCCTCCAGACGATATTCGGCCCGATATTTCCCGTCCACGGGGCATTTCATGATCGCATTCCCCATGAGAATAACTAGCCTCGCTGTCACCGTAGCGATCACCGTCACGTCGTCCCACCTGTTTGCGCCCGCAACGTTCCGTAACAACGTCACCCGAGAAAGAGTGCCAGACTGTGATATTACCCGGTGATAGAGAACTCGCCTTATAATCTACGTTTTTACCTCAACGTACTCAGTAAGTCTTCGTCCTTCGAAAGCTTCTTTAACGTCGCTCTGATTATATAAGGAACTGAGTAAACACCAATTAAAACGGTAACGTTACAACAACAATGTAATAATCCTCCACTCAACGATGTAACTGTCGTATACAACGCATGTTACATCGCGCTTATATTGTTGAGTGAGAAATTATAACTATCGACGCAGTGTTACAGTTAATTGGTGGTGTTTACCGGAACACGCACTCTTCTGCGAGCTTTCAAGATAAAAACGCGCTCGTTCGCCGAGTGGATTTCGCCGTTTAATTTCGCGACCGATCTCTCCTGCTATTAGCGCGGTGAAACGCGTTTATTATTGCTCGCGAGGGGAGACTTTCGTCACACCGGGACCGCGATGTTTCGTCGTTAAATTCTATTTTCCGTCTTGATTCAATCTTGAGTCTTTCACGAAGATCTAACGAACATAATTCGGCGAAAATAAAAAAATTCTGTTTAAAATTATTCGGCGTATTATTGCCCAGATATTTGTCAGAGCCATTTTCGATCGTTTCACATTTTGCGTCGGGATCGTTGCGAAAGGGAGAACCGTTTCTACAAATCCCGAATTACTCGAGAATAACGGCTGACACTAATTCTCCAGCCATGCGCAGCAGCTTCAAGTCCTATGCGAGTTCTCTCAAATTGCTGCACTTGACGCATATATGTGTAATACGATTGGTGTTCGTGCACTGTGCAATTGTATTATTAGAGAATGCGAGTCTCATTGGTTTAGGCGGTCTCTTCAAATTATAACGTCAACTGCACGACACACGTCGATCAAGCAACGATTGACAAAACGGTTCTGCTCCGTTAATAAAATAACTATTCGAACTTAAACATTTTTCACTCATTGCACTCTTTTTAATCTTTAGTTACAGTAACCCACCTGTCGTTGACACCCTTAGGGAATGGCGCAACGCCTCATACGTGTGCATTAAGTCCCCCATTTCGTCACAACCCGAGTTACATGTTCGAATTTCGCATTTTGACGCGGAAGATCACGATCTCTCTCGTTGAAATTAATTGTGCTCAATAAATTAGACGCAATTAGGCGCTGGTCGATCGAGCGACGGACCGATTAATTTATGCGTTTGGCGGAAGGTGAATGCTTCTTTTCCTTTCACGTCGGCACTTCTTGCTGGACGTATGATTTATAGCGCATAAATGCATACCCTCGTTATTCAATACGTTCTGCTCAATTGCCGGGAATTCCATATACATGGTGTGGCACGAATAAATGGCGTATAATTAATTATACCACTTGGCGATGTTGGAGCAGCATTCCGATTTCGTAATCTTAATCGGGACGATCTTCTTCGCTTCTAACGAGCTGCGCGATTAGTCGCTTGGTCATCTAATCGGATATCGTGTTACAATTTCCGCGCCGCGGCCGGTAAACGGTGCTGTTAAATATTGGTTTTCGTCAAATATTTGTTACCGGAATGCGCCTCCCTTCGCGTATTTTTTGTGTGCTTCGCGATCGCTATCGCGCCCGCTAAAAATTGCGCCGTATCGATCTCTGCGTACGATATGTGTTGTCTCATTCAGGAAATTACATACATGCTGCGGGCAAGCTCCGACGAGACTAAAAGCGCGCTTTTTATCGCTCGTAACTCACATAGGGGCACGATGTTGGAGTCTCCGTCATATCAGTCACGAGTTTTTCTATCCAAGCTGCACCCTGCATAACGCAAGATACGCGTGAAGTGGCGCAATCCCGCCATTAAAAAACACCGTCTTTACTTGAGACACCGGCCATTTTCCGACCCTACAATCGACTGGCTCTTAAAATAGTGAGCTATTTTTGCTTGCGTCCCGCGATATCTCGCATTCGTTATTTCAATTTGCGGAGCTGAACAATTATTCCTTATGCAATGCCCGAGATTCCGATACGAGAAGAAGCCTTCATTAATAGGCGATTGTCGAGCGGCATCTCAGCATAATTTCGTGTCGGAAATTGCACTCCTCATGCCAAGCGTATTCCTCATTATAAGATGCGGCGTAACTTTGCAGCTTTGGATCACCAGCGAGATCGAGCGAAATCCCGCGGGACGGTGCCGTGACGAGCCGAATTAGTTCCGGAATTTTCAACCATTCGCTCTTTCATTCGCCATGCACGGAAACGAAAAAGTTTTCCGGTTCTCTTTTGCGAACTTCGCGATCACGCTCTAGCCGGGAAAGTCGATCACCCTTCGCCGGTTCTCGCACTCGATCGGACGTAAGCGCGCTCTCTCGAGTGTGTACAAGTGAACGCGGACCGCTTAGTATCTTTCCTCCGATTATTATATACACGTGTTTGTTACTTGTGTGTCTGCCTGTGATACTTGGCAGATAATGCCAAAAGAAAAGACGAGGACAAAAATAGAAATGCGCGGTGGTCGTGAGAAAGAGAAAGGAGGGCGCGAGAGAGAGACGTCCCGGGAACGGCGGAGGACAGGGAGGGTCGATCGAGACCCCGCTCTGGAGCGAGTCCTCTTTTCAATTTCAACGGGACTTTGCGCTATCGCGAAATGCGTTTCTTTTTGCGATGACCGGTGGTTCTATGTAGCTCGACACTGTTTACAATCGTCGGAAACGCCAGACGAGAAGCCAATGAACGACGCGCACGCCGTACAATATCAACACAGTAATCGTCGCTCGATCTTATTTTGCGCGAATTTCAAGCGAGGTGAAGCCGAGGCGCCCACGACACAATAATATATCGCGATACGCGCGAAATTGAACAAATAACGTACTATTATTATTATTACTTATCGCACGGAAGAAAAGATTTCGCTGGCGCAGTTAATCATACGTTCTGCCGAAGGTGTTTCGCTGCTGTAGCTGGAAATTTGTTGCCGTAATTGGAACTTTGGTTACCGTTGCTGAGTGTATGAGTGCCATATTCTGTTGCGGGAACCGAGTTCTTTATTCCGTGTACAAATTCGGCTACAGTAGACAGTATGTTAGATGTGGCAGCTATACACTTAGCAACAGTCACTGAAGTTTCGGTTGTAGCGGCAAATTTTTGGCTAAGCAGCGAGACATTTTCAACTAAACTACGGTTGACTACGACAGCAAAATTTTTTCCCGTGCGAGAAATTATTTCAACGATCTTGGCCGATAAAATCGCGATATTTAAGCGTAAAAACAGTCTCGACAGCTCTCTCCGATACAAGATTACCGACGCATAGCTGCGCGCACATTACACGATACGCGGAGATAATAGGATACTTTGTATCACGTACGGACGTTTTGATTTTCGCAGATAATCCTCGCGTTTGCGCTTTCGCTCGCCCGCGGCTGTGGTGTGTCGGCGTTTACGATAGCGCTTATTAATTTCGCGATGAGATACCACTCGAGCTTGCTCGAGATCGCAGAGCTTGCAGAGACGCAAATACGCTTTTTTTGGGGGGTCTCGTTTTGCCTTTACTTTTCCGATCGGTAGACACGCGATTTCTTTCGCGCCGACGAAGGGGAACCACCGCACAGACGATCGGTGCTGAATATTTAAAAGGTTCACGACTCAACTATGTAATTATGTGAAACGTGCGACGATGAAGTAAATATTAGAAACGCCGCGTTATCGCGATGGGAACTGAATCGTTAATTTTAGGAGCTGTATCGATCCGTATTGGTATGTTAAAGACCTTTGTCGAATAGCGAATGCAACGAACGATTCAATATCGATATATCGGCCGTATCGAAGGCACAGTAATGCTCTTCAAGGACGCGTGTTTTCAGCACCGTCAATACTAATCGCACGAGGAAAGAGAGATAAATAGAGTTAGATAACTTCGACATCAATATGCGTCGTTTCTTTCTGTTATTGCTGGTGTTAAACGCTAATTCTCATCGCCACGATGCGCCGGGAATAGAAATGGTTCTGCCCTATATTCGTGTAGCTTGAAGAGGGCAAGTAAATGTGTCTGCTACGGCGACGAGTCTGGCACGCGTCTACCTAATGATATTGCATACGCGAATCGATCATGAATAATGTCCCTCAACCTTGAGAGAAACGTCGAAATGAAAAGAATTCGATACTTTTTTTCTTTTTTTAACTCAATTCCAAGCGATTCCGAGACTCAGATCGATACTATCGTAATTAAAAGGTTCATCGTCGATCCGTTGAAATTGCTGGAAAATAGATGCACTCTCAATTGATTTCTGTTAATAAAAACACGTAGGAAATTTCAAGATTATTTATCTATATCTGTATCTATTTATATTTATCTGTACATCATCAGAAGTAAATATTGTCGTGAGAATCATCACGATCACGCTTCGCCACTAAAATATTGTATTCATATACGATCACGTATCAAAGCCATTGGTCTTATTCCCATTTTCGTTGATAACGCAACTAATCGACCAGGCTGCAAAACAAGTCAACATTGCTGTAATCCAACTACATGTGGTTACCAGCCACGCTTTGAGCAAATATTACAGAATTACTATTTTAACCTTCCCTAAGCTAGAGATTATTTTATAAGCTGTATTTACATGCGTGTACGTGCACATGTACGTGTCTATGTTGTATGATTTAATCCGGACTAGATGCACCGGTGAAAATACAATTAGCAATTAATAGTCACGTTGCTCTAAAATATGCACGATTCAAATTGTCATAGCACTTAAGGCTCCTTTCGATGAGAGATAATTTTTTGTAAAATTTATCATTCGATTTTCCTATTGCATTCGAGCGGACAGTAGCACGCGACGCATGAAATTGACGATACGATGATGCCATAAAGAATTCGATCTCTGAATATTTTAAACTTCAAAACTGTCGAGTTTCATTACCAAAATTACCATTACCGTTCTAATCGGACAGTATCATAAACGTAATCAAAAGCTGTCTCGGCAAGATACATAGGATGTCTCCGTGATGTCTCATCCCCGGAGAAACGTGTAACGAATGTTGCACGTGGTCGACTCTAAAATAATGAGGATATACTGGATACGACCATTTGGTAGCGCAGCGCTGAAATGATGTTAGTGTTAACGTGTGAGCAAAGGTCGCATCTATAGTCAACGCACGAGAAGTGTTCTTCTCTTTCTCTTCTGCCTCTACCGGGAACTCCGTTTTCCCTTCTGTTTCTTTCTTTCTCTTTCTTTCTCTTTCTTTGGCACGAGATTTATATTTAAGTGAAAGATATCTAAAAATAGAAGCACCCTGCGCACGGTCATTGGAGTGCCGTGCCGCCGCCGACGTCGCGTCTATTAGGCAATTATACTCTGTATGTATACAGGGTGTCCAGACTTGAGTCAAAGCGAAGCTTGTGTGCAGGTAGAACTCATCGAACGGATAAATCCTGTGTCATTTTGCAAACAAGATCACTTTTGTCTTTTCAGAGCTCGTTTGCAGTGCATCGCGCGCGCATAGATTCGCCTATCTTTTTCAATTAATATTTCAATAATTATCGTGGCCGCGTTTGAAAAGTGCTAGAGGATTTTTTCCATTCAGTTCGATGAAACCTACCTGTACACGAGCGTTGGTACACTCAAGTTCGGACACCCTGTACATGCATGTACATTCAATAAATCTCGACAAGTATAAACAGAGGCAATAAAGAGCCTTCCGAGCGACGCACTCGGCGTCGATCAGTACCCAAGTCCATGCCCTCATGTCTGTGTGCTCCTATGTTCATATTTAGCATTGCTAGTTAAGTGGACAGTTAAAAAAATATCCGAACCGGATGGCGAATAAAGAACGGATGCTAAATACGTCGATATAAGTAGGTAATATTTCAGCAAACAATTCGCCCGATTTGCTCTACGTCGTGAGAGAAAAAATATCTAACAAATAAATCATATTTATTCAGTGGATATTAATAACATATTTTCTTCCATCAATATAGATGCTTTTACACACTGAAAAACAATTTTTTTTCAAATGAGGAAATATACATTTTCTTAAATCTGCATCTTTTTATGAAAGCAATGGTTTGTTCAATTTAAATAAAAAAAATTTAGATTTAAGTAAATATCAGTGTCCATTGAATAAATATTTTTTATTTTTTTAATATTTTTTCTCTCGGATAATGTCATATTGCTATTCGTTCGAAGGCTATACGGCGTCACTGATAGATCGCTATTATTTTATTTTTAAAGAAAACCACTCTCAATTACGATGTACGATTACGAATACGCCAAGAACGACCGTTTCGGTCTCATCCATTTCTGCCGATTGATGACAAGAAATCGGGACATAATTTCAAAATTTTCACAGCGATATTCGGACGATGAAATGTATAAAAACCAATAAGATGACGAGAGAGAATCTGCATGCGTGAGAGATCACGGGTACGTAATTAAACGAAAATTGCATTACTTTCAGATGTTCGCGTATCGATTGAGTGTGATCGTGACCCTGGTCCTTGCTGTGGTGTTTCTTGTGCCAGAATCAGGAAATGCACAATCCGACAGCAGCTATCATCAGCTGGGCACGAGGATGTCCGTGGAGGTGCCGCAGAGATATTGCGGCAGAAGGCTGTCCAATATTCTACAGACAGTTTGCACGGGCGTGTATAATAACATGTTCAAGAAAAACGTTCAACAGGAGGACAGTAAAATCCAACGTTCCATCGAGGCCGGCACCAGGCGCAGTAATATGTTTTCAGGTAACGTAACGATTATTATATATCTTTGGGGCCAATTATCTCAAGTATAAATTTACGCACGTTAGTCGACGAACATTCGCAATTAGCAACGGAGGCTGTGCAACTGAGCGTTAATCACGATACAGCGACATCCACGTGCTTCTTCTCACCCAAGAGATTCACGGCGAATTTGCCGATTGGCAATTATGTTCTCATGCGCATGCAGGAGTGATGATAATTTCAGGAAGTACGTTCCTCGATCGCGGTCTCCTCGCGACAAAATTTGCCTTTGTAATGCAGCGACTCGTGCTCGTTAATATTAATGCCGCTAAGATTACTTCTTTCTCGATTAACATCACCCCGTGGCAGCGCGTATTCTTCTTCAGCCTCCAACGCAACGGCCGGTCGGTTCGGAGGCCGATTTTAACGAGCACCCGGAGCGAGTTTGCGTATCCCGGCGGCACATGCGGACGTTTGAGCACGAATACACCCGCACCCGCGCGAATCGCAACGTCGGATGTGCGGATTTAAGACGACCCGTCTGGGGATACAAATCAGGCTTAATTTATACCGGACCCACGATTGAACGTTGGTTCCATCTGAAAATGAGGTCAGCCGCGTGAGTTAATTCGCGTACTTGCCCACCTCAGATACAACTTCGCCTTCGCGAGTAAATCTCGCGACTCGCACGGAACTTTTCCCAATCGCCGGGGAATTCTCTCCTTCCGTTCTTGTACCGGGTTCTTTCCGGTTTTAGCCAGCTCCTCGAGCACGGCACATTCCACGAAAGACGATTAAGTATGCGATCAATCTGGTGCCCGCAATTAACCGAGTAATCGCCACTTTGCCGCCGATGAATAATGCATGCGAAACTCGCATTACGTATTCCCGAGGTGGGATCATGAGCCGGCACACTCTCTAATCGTCGAATAACTTAAATACGCCAATAATCGGAGGCGTCGCTGCCTCTTTCCCGCGGCCTCTGTCCGTTCGCTTCACGACGATTTTCGCGCCGAAAACATGGACGGAGGTAACGGAAGGATTTACGTCGAGAACTGGTGCGTGTCCTGTTTTTCTTCTTCTTCTTCGGGACGAGCGAAACGGTTTATCGTTGTGTCTAATCAGTCAGACGGATTCGTGTAATCTGACAGCGGGATCTGGACGCGACCGTACGATTTATTGACGATCGTGAAAGGCGCGTGTCCACGTTCCAAATACCGCTTATTTGCGTATAAATAATGCGACACGCGTGACGCATAAAAATACGTTTCTCGCTTTTCTTCATCGTTTTAGTTGAGATATTCGAAATTTACCGATTAAAGATAGAAGATTGCCGTCGGGTATAACCATGACGAAATTATGGCGAAATTATGGCATTGTTATCTAAACGTTTATCCTCAACTTGTCAAACGTACGAAATATGTATTGACTTCTCATTGATTTATGTAGAATTCATCCGAAACATTCTGTCAAGTCTTTACGACTTGTGTATATATTTGTTTATTTGTTGTTTGTTTTTATAAATTATGCCAGCAAATTAAAGAATTATCTTTCCTGTCCGCGAAAATAAAATTCAAGGGAGCTTTCACGCGTAAGCTCATGTCGCGCAAGCTTTCTCCCCTCCGCCTTCACTCAGCATCGGTCAATGCGGTAACTTTGTTGCTGTAGAATCAAGCGAACGTCATTTCGCCCAAAGTCGTCGCTCCCAACATGAAGGGCATAAGAAAGAAAACATCGTAGTCGTTTGATTTTCTGCTCGTTTGAATAAGTGGATTCTGGACTTCAAGATTCTGCCAAAACCAACCTTGTTCTTAACGTTTCCCACCGGGATATATCGGGTTGGATGAAAATATGCGAATCGTTTAAATTTTCGCGTCATATTTAAGCAAAATTTACATACGAAAAATGTATCCGCTTCTAAAAGAAGAATGTTAGGTACATCTTAAACGAATAATGAGTACTAATTCGTTCGTCTTTTGTAAAGATTCAAAATTGACAGAACGTTTTTACTTCAACATTAAGCAATTTTGTCGAAAAATGTTGCACAATAATCAGCAAATACGCAAATCAAAAGTGAATATTCACTCTTTCGAAAGCTGTAAACTGCATTCGTGTGCAATTTTTTATTCACACCATGAAACTGTGCAAATTTCGACGAAAGTTTTGATATTTAACTGACCTCTTTTTGTTTATCGTATTGCTTCGTAAAAAATAAGTAAAATCGTTATCGAAAGATTGATTTGAAAAGTAAAAGCTTTAATCTGTAAAATATTCTTTAAAACGCATAATTATGATAATTTTTGTCGAAATTACAATCTGTTGAATTTTGCCTATTTTTCCAGGACAGCAAAGGTGATCCTTTAATTTTTCGGCGTACTTTAAGCTTGTTCGTCCAGTTTCGCCGAGAATCAATACAAGATAAAAGGCGAGGTGCACAAAGTAAATGGGGGGTAAAGCAGACGATAAGAATCACAATTATTAAATTAAACCGAGGGTTATGAAATTGAATAAAATACGATCAAGCGACCTTAAAACAATATACTACCCTCATTACAGGTACTTTAATAAAAATTCGCTTTCATTCCAGGATTGGAAATGTCCGACTATCCGATCAATTACGAGAGACCTTCTCTTTTTATGACTGGGATGGGGGCAACCCAATTCATAAATCGTTACCATGGCAGCCGCGTCCGAAGGCAAAGGGGTATCTACGAAGAATGCTGCCTCAATGGGTGCACAGTGCAAGAATTGACCACTTATTGTGGTCCGTCACAATAGTCGGTTTGTCGACATTAAATGCGTTCGGAGATCGGTAATTCTTCGACTTCCGCTTTATCACTCGATCACCATGCAAAACCGGATATTTCAAGATGATACGCATATCTACATATACACACATACACATGCCGATTACAAATAGCAGATTACGAACACACACGTACATAAATACACGTTAGAAAACTTACCGGCAATCGTTTCATCTCGCTCACGTTGAAAATTAATTCGTCATAATAACATATATGTTTATTGTAATCGCGAAGAAATTAATCTTGTTGATGCACGATCGTGTGTAGAATTGTATTTTTTCTTTGATTTCACGAGAGAGAAAGAAAGTGAGGAAATAGTGAAAGAAAAGAAAAGTTTATTTAAATTACCGATATCCAAATTACGATAGCGATTGTAATCGTATCGTCGATGCATAGTCATCATTAACACCGTTGGTCGAGCTACTTTCGCACGCGTGACCACGGGGACCCGCGCGTGATAGAGCGTAAGATCCATTCTCCATCGCGAATGAATTTTGGCGGGGACGAATTCGCCTGAAGCGACGCGATCTCTCAGATCGGATCGCGGTCGAATGCGTGGCCGATAAGAGAGACTTTCGGCCAATGGTAGCGGTGCATTGCGTTCCCCGATACTGGTGAGCGATCTACGTCGTGTACGAGCTTTAGTACGTACGCTCAGTGTCGTCCGGTGCTTCATCGGGCACCGTCCTCGGTGCTTTCCCGATCCCCCGATCGCGGAATCGCGACCAAGTGGGCGCCTCGCGCGAAGACCGGCCGCGACATGCGCGCGACGGTGAATAAATCTGGTCGCTTGGTCTCATCGCGATGCCCGGGAAAGCCCTGACCTTCGATTACTTCTGAGGAATATCCATCTCGCTTCCATCTCAGGACAAGTCAGATCGACGAGGACCACGGGAGAAATCGCCGGTGATCGGTGAGAAGGACAAGATGGACAGAGCGAACGGCCGGTGCAATGGTAAGACTTTCGATCCTTTACCCAAGCATGAAATTGAAGCATGATTTGCGGGACCAAAGATTGGTCTCGTAATTTCCCCCAAGTCCGCTTCACTTCGTGTCGAACGTTCGCACCGATCCGAATCCGTTGGCCGATCTCTATGCGTTCCAATGTCCGAAATTCTTTTTCACTGTATAGCAAATATTACGTACTTGTTAGATTGTCAGGTAATTCCCCGGCCCCCGTTTCAGCTCTCTGGGAACACATTAGTTTCATTCAGCTGCAATGTTTCCAGGTAAAACTGCAGGAAAACCCGTGCCGCAGTCTCTAACGCATTACGTATGAGACGACATCGTTTGGCATTCACAAAAGAATGTGCTATCGCAACGGAAAAGATATTTTCAAAAGGCGCTATGTAAATGATAAATCGTGGTTTAAATGTCTATTAAACACAACATAAATAGTGTTGTAAATTCCTAAGTCGTGACTGACACAACGCAACAAAGGCGAAGTAAGAAAATATTTTGCCACGAACTCGTTATAATAACAACATATCCGTAACTTTTGTCTATTAGTAATATATCTTCGCATACTGATTTACGATAGATTATTGAAGTAATGATGGTTGCGCGCAATAGACGATTCTTGGGGAGCTCGTAACTCAAATCGTATATTAATCGCCGGTCAATAATACATAGAATGACGGATATTAGTACGTAATTTTTAGTCGTATTTTCTCGTGAGGATAAAATCAAGCCGAAACTGCAAGAAATTTTATGAATAAAATTCTTATGAAAAATATTTTTACTGTACATTTTAGTGAAAAATTATCTTCTTCCTCTTCGCAAGTTAATTTTCTGACATATACCGGATGCCCGAAAAGTTTGGGCAAGCGGCCGTGCGTAAGTAGAATTTGTTAAAGTGAGCAGAAAAGTCTTTTATTATTTTGCGAACAACCGCGCAAAATTTCGAGTTATTAATTATTGAAAATGGCCATAAAAGCTTCTTTAATTAATGAATTTGCATATATTATTTGCAAAATGATAAAAGACTTTTTGTTCGGAGTAGCCTAATCTACATGTAAATAGCAATTATTGTATCTAGCGATAAGTTTAAAGTTCGAAGTTCAAGGTTCAATATATTGATGTCTATCACTAGATATGGTCAGCGACAAAAAGATGACAACATTCTTTTTTAATGATTTTCTCAACGCATCTCGTACTTAATAGAAAAATTGCCTGAGAATTACTAAGAAACGAATTTTCCTATTGGACATGCGTTCTAAAACTTATAAGAAAAAATCTTTTTGTTGCTGACTACATAACAGCTGTCATATATCCGTAGATTATAGGCCACTCTGAACAAAAGATTCTTTTGCAAACCAGTTTGCAAATAACATAAAAATTTTCCAAATTATTAATTAAAGAAGCCCTTAGATATGGCTATTTTCAAAAATCAATAAAGTGCGAAATTTCGTATCTTGTTTTTTGCAAAATAATAGAGAACTTTTTTGTTCACTTCAATCCGTTCTACGCTCTTTCACAAAGCTTGTCCATGTTGATCTGGGACACCTTGTGCACAAAGCTTACATAAGATAATTATGCAAATCATATAGATAAGTTAGACGCTTTAATAAATATAGCTATGGATCTAAATAAAGATTCGTTTAGACTTTGTTCTTTTCTAAAATTTGTTTAGAAATTACACAATTATTAATGGTTTACAATTTCCGTTCTGTCTAATTGTCATATATTGGGCGCACTTCAAGAGCCATGTGAGAATATTAATTGTAACATGGCGTAGTTTAAAAATGGAATCATAATAATTCTCAACAACTCAGTAGAGTCATATTCTCTCTGGAGAACATGGGTTTAAAATTCCCTTTGAATAAGCAACCTAATGCCACGTGCCCTCGAATACCACGTGCCTTCGAATGTGATAAATAGCTAATTGCACATTGCATATAGTGTATAAACGCTCGCACGTTACTTTATCTGTCTAATTTAGACACTATTCGCCTACAAATGAAAATAACGAACACGCGTTACGTGCCGGGGAAATACCACTTGGAGAAACTCGACGCTAAAATAATTCAAAATGACATTTGCAGTTCCGAAAACGGAAATCGGAAGAGGAGAATTTGAAGAAAAACAATTTGAAAGAATGCCTCGAGGAAAATTTCGAATTAAGAATTTCGCCACGTTTAGCGTCGTTGAGAGATTCCCAATCGGAGTTACTCCGAAACGTTTATAAGCACGTTTATAGTGTATCAACAGCGTATCGTGCGAAGAAGAGAAGGACTGTTCAAATTCCATTGACGTTAATTTCTGCATTATTCAAACTAAAATATGCAATTCGACGAAAAGAAAACATCTCGAATGAGAAATTTACTGTCGTTAAAAGGAAAATATCACGCAAAGCGTTTCAACTTTACATTAATGCGATTCTCATTGAAACACCATTTACGTAACGACGTCTGTTTTTTGTATGGGAGATTAAGAGGGAAATCTACTGTAAAATTTTCAAAAAATCAATATTTTGTTTATTGGCTTAAAAAATACTTTGAACCCTCTAAAATAAGGTACATTAGGTGTTATAGCCGGCTAAATTTTTCTTCATTGAAATTTCGACCTTTTACCGAAGCGCTCCGAAACGTGTACCTGCGGTAAATTCCTATCTGTTCGGCGGGTACAGCGTAGTGACTTGCAATTCAATTTCTAACATTTCTAATACTCCAAGTCGATCAACAGATGTCACTAGGTATATTTTATAGTCAGAAGCGATTTCAACAGTAAGGACGCCTGTAGTGCATAATTTTAAGGGCCAGTGTGTCGAACAGCTGTGATCGTTTCGGCGTTTCCCGCGTGGCTAACGTATAGTTTTTATACTTTTATCAAAATGAAGCCTGCTTCTTTCGACCGAAAGGGTTCACGCGAAACTCCCGAACGACCTTCACGACGTAGGAAAAGACCGCCGCCACCAAATCGCCATACGATGGAGAATGAAACGGAATCGACAAGTTCTTCCGCGAAAAAATTAAGAACGAAATCGGTGGAAGTGGAAATTAATAATGGCTATGGATACAGTTTGATTGAATTTTTATTCTTGTTTCAAACGCTGAGTGAAATGATCATGTGCAAAACGTGCGGTGGAAATGTGACTTTTTCGGAAAGTAGTATCCGTGGACTTGGATTCAACTTAGTCGTTAAATACAGTAATTGTGAACTTCGAGCATTTTCAATGAAGGCTACTCTAGTATCCTCGAAATAATGGACGTTATGAACATCAAAATTGGACCAAACGCCTTCAATTTATGCAACACCGTGGACGAGCCCAGAATATCACAAGCAAACGAACGGTCGTTCGACGCTTTAAAAGAAGGGAGAATCGAAAGAAGAACGGCGCGATCGGCACTCGAAGAGGATTTCCTTGAAGAAGAAGATATACTATATGAAGCAAGAATGGGCGATTAATGGTAAGAAGCTTAAAAATGATTTTTTCATTGAAAAAACTAATGCCGAAACTTTAAACGCGTTTTTCTCGAAACTAAGTTTTTCAATACGGTGTACACGATATCTCGAGTTTTAATGAATGAATCGACTTGAAATTTTAACCACATATTCTCTGGAATAGTGTCTCTCGTCTGGCGGAGCATTTTTTTGATATCGTTTTTTGTGTAATTGTTATAAAGAATAATAACGTCAAATTTGGGCAAAAAAATAGACAAAAAATTTCAAGAATTTTTTTTCGGCGCCAAAATTTTTTATCGACAAAATCCTCCGTCAGACGAGAGTCAATACTATGTAGATGATAACCATATTTTGTTTTTTGTTTCAGATCACCCAGACGTGAGATTTCATGTACACCGTTTGGGCACCTAAAAAAAACGGACCTGCACTCGAAGGAGTGCCACGACGGCAATTTTGAATATTTTGACTTGAAAATTTTTTTACAAATACTTGAATATATAATAAAGATGACGGTTTAATTTAATTTAATGTACGAGTCATATTTTGTTAGAAAAAAAATCCGGAAAATCGGCCTGTTTTTTCCCTTGTCACAGTAGACTTCCCCCTTAATACGAGAGGTTGTACAAACATTCTCTATTTTGCCGACTCCTTTTAATGGGAGAATATTTGAACAAAGTGCGATTAACTAGTCTCAAATTTGTGTGTAGCGTGCGTATCAATTACGGACACACTCGTTGATTACGTGACCAATAATTAGATCGCGGCGTGTAGCGAAACAAGGGAGGAAATGTGATAAGCAAAATGGAGAAATTTCTCGATAATCTAAATATAGTCGGCACGAGCTAATCGGAAGGTTGTCTCTCACGTGATTGTTGTGAGCGTCTTGCATGAAATCATGGAGAGATACTCTTCTCTCAATTAAATGCTCGATGTTGCTGTTGCAAAATTTATATCTATATATTACATTCATAGAGATCTCCAAATATATATAAGCGTCGCTTGTACTTAATTCCATCGTATCGTCGAGTTGTATGGCGAATTCAGCGATTGATATTGTCCTCGACCTCTGCTTCGCCTTTTAAAATCGACCGCTTAGACAAAAGAGACATTGCTCAATTACTGTAACGACGTCGCGCCACTCGATATTTCGTCACTGACGATCACCCGATGTATCCTACGCATCAATTAAAGCGACAATGAATCATTCTCTACGCCCGGGAATTTATCCGTTCTGAGAAATTTTTTCGAAATTATCCCCACGCTCGTCCAATAATTTTCCTCCGAGCGAATCAAAACGCTCTGATAAGGATCGCTGATACACCTGGTTCATTTGATCAAACATCGATTAATTGCGCGTTCGTCGGGGGAAAAGGATTTCGTACGCCGCAATTGCAATTATGGCGAAAGAGCTGCAGCAAACAAGAGCGATGCGACGGCTAGATAAGCGGTGAAATACTCCACGATGATTTTATCGTAACCGACTTTACACAACTCGCATACACACAAACACCGGGAGTTGCCGCGAACATAAACGCTCGCACGTTACTTTATCCGTCTAATTTAGAAACTATTCGCCTACAAATGAAAATAACGAACACGCGTTACGTGCCGGGGAAATACCACTTGGAGAAACTCGACGCTAAAATAATTCAAAATGACATTTGCAATTCCGAAAATGGAAATATCGGGAGAGGAGAATTTGAAGGAAAACAATTCGAAGGAATGCCTCGAGGAAAATTTCGAATTACGAATTTCGCCACGTTTAGCGTCGTTGAGCGAGATTCCCAATCGGAGTTACTCCGAAACGTTTATAAGCACGTGCGGCTCGGCCGATGCCGACGAATGAAACTGCTTGTCGAATACTCGAGTCTGGGCACGTGTTGTCGAGATAGTGCGAGTTAGCCGGAATGAAATATAAGCCGCAAGGGTCTCGCCGTTCGATATTCCAAACAGCGGGATCTCCCGAGGCGCGAGGGAACAGGAGGGTTCAATGGAGACGGCAGGAGGGGGAGCGGAGTTCAAGAAGAGGGACGAGGTCGAAAGACAACATGATCAGGGTATGGGACAATATGTGACCGTACAAAAGAGAGCACGTATATATACCTGTAGATATACCTGTAACGGTATGCGCCGGATGCCGAATTATGGCAAACAGGAGAGAGCGGCCGTTGGACCAGATAAGTTACAAGGAGGAAACCCTGGTCGCGTTCGCTCTCTAATCGCTGGGCAAAAAATGAGTCATGGTCGACGTCGTCGACGACGACGTTGCTCGTCATCGTCACAAGTTGAACTAGCCGGTGGAAGGGGAAGTTCAGGTGCGGCTATGCGAGGACGGAAGCCACGTAAAGCAAAACGCGCGTTTCGCGCGCAACTTTCAGAGCCGCCTCTCCCGACAAGGAGCGGAGTTCACGCTCCGAACAATTAAAGCCGTTCATTACGATCCGCTCTGAACTGGAAACACGCTCTATAATTCCCTCTACTGCGTTCTATCGTTTTTTGCTTAATTATCGCTCGTCATTTTTCTTACTTCAAGGGTAACTGTTATCTTATCTTAATGTAACCCTCCTTTCTGTCTCTTTTATGTTAAACCTATCTCAGGTATGGGAGAAGAAAGGTACTTAACTTTACGAGTATTGTTACATAATGGCTGTAAAAGATAAGACGCCCGACTCGCGTGACAATGAACGAACGTATCTCGAAAGATCAGAAATGCATTCTGAAGGACGGGCCGTGAAATCTGAATTACGCACTTTGAACCGTGCTCGATACATCGCAAACGAGAGATACAATATTTCCGTCGAACGACGATCGCTGCGGGCACGCGTTACACAACGAGCGATGTAGGTGTGCGTGGCGGCCGATTTCAAACACTTCCAATTGATACGCGCCGTTAGTTTAACGGGAGCAATCGCGAAGAAGCCAGATAATACTTATCTGGCGCATGTCTCGTAAATAGCGATTGCGTGTTTCTCGGCACGCGTGAAATGAAAAGCGCGTACGCAGTTAGCGGTTCAAGCCGGTCGGCGCTTCGCAGCCGTCGGCCCCCGAGGAGGCGCCCGATTTAGACACGTCCCTGGGGCTGGGTTCGCCACGGCTCAGGGCGCAAGTCTTCTCCGGTCGGTCTCCGTGTGCCAAACTGTTCTCCTTCGATTCGTTCAGAGGCCTTTCGCAACCCGGAGCAAGTAAATCGTCGCGGCGGTGTTTCACAGCTGTGTGTGCTCCTCGGTGTTCGTCCGTTACGTACGAGTTCCCTTTTCGAAGGGCATCGCCAGGTCGCGCACCTGCGCTGGTCAGCAACACGTCAGCTTCGGCAGCCCGTTGCAGCCCGGGAATCAGCAATTTCGCAGCGTTCGGAAACGACGGCTCGGCGCCGCCATTTTCACGCGAGCACGTTGCCACGAATTTCCACGGGCGACTCGACCCGCCGGCGGACAGCCCGGATTATTCGCCGCGGGACGCACCGTCCTCTCGCGCTGCTGCGAGACGCCCCTGTCTGTCGGTGGCAACGCCACGGATGAGCGCCTCGCCGAGGAAACCTCCGCGTGCAAAGTGACTTCCCGCGGGAGGGTGACTTTTTCTTTTCCGTTTCCTAATTTGCGGCCGACCGGGGAGTACCACGCAGCTGCGGCGGCAACGTGTACCGGCACTATGAGCAAGATGCTAGACACAAACTATCGCACCGTGTTCTCTGTACTTAGAAGTCCCGAGGAGGGTGAAGCGTTTAAGCGGATCATCTGAAAGAATCGCGAAAGAAAGGCAGAGGGTCGTCGTCGCAGTCGGCCGTGTTCCGCGAGGACAATCGAGTTTGCACAAGTGTGAAATCCGGTGCGCCGGGTGTAGAGAAATTCGTCTCTCCGTGTATCTCTCTCTATCTCCCTCTCTCTCTCTCTTTCTCCTTCCGTCCCCCTCCCGTTCGGCGCGTGATTTTCGCGAGTTCCCGCATACGTCGCCGCGTTGACGTAACCGCCGATTTATATATAGATCCGTGACTCGCGGATTCTCGTTTACGCGGTTATCTCCCGTAACATCGCTTTTCCCCGCACGCGGGACTGTATCGATCGATTCGATCGTGGAAAAAGAAGAAGAAGGACGAGAGAGTCTCGGCCGGTCGAGTGCGCGCGTCAGGGAAGCCGGTTTCTCCGCTCGAGCCTTTTCCCCGTGGAGGAGCGGGCGGCGTGAAAAGCCGAACTGTCGACCCCATCTGCCGATCGAGACGTCCCGACGGCAACCCCGGATACTCCTATAACCCGTAATGTATTTGCGATCGCGCCAAGGAGCAGCACAAGGGAGGCACGAGCACACAAGAGAGCCGGTAGGAGCTGGTGCGGCGAACGGTCGCAGGGATCCCGGATCGTCCTCGAGGGGCAAGGGTGGGACGAGAAAAGCGGCGAGCCGGCGCGAGCCAGCGTCATCGCGGCCGCTACGAGGCGGCCTGGTGTGCCTGAAACGCGGCATGAGCGAGGGTGAACGAGCGGTCACCACGCCACGCATCGGCTGGCGAAAGCTCACCGACCCCGGCGACTGACACGAATCCGGGAAGCCGAGGGCAGGTCCGAAGCGATAGCACCAGCTACCACTCGCTCGTCAGCATTCTCATTCTCCTGCCGCTCCCTCGACCAGCCGCCTTGAGGAGCCGGGCTTCGCGCGTCGAGCAACGTCGTGGTCGCCGCTCGATGCCGGTCAGATGCCGGGGAACGTGTCGCCGAGAGCCGCTGCGAGGACCCTGAAGAGAGAGCCCGAAATGGCGGGTAATCGGTGTCGGTAGCAGACGGGGGTGGTTATCGTCCCGGAGAACGCGACCGTTCAAGCACATACCTCGCAGCTCACCTTCTTCTCCTCTGTCTTCTCCCGCTACTTCTTCATCTCGTACTTCTGCTCCCCCTCCTCCTTCGCGTCCCGTTTGAACACTTAGTCACGGTGATACATTAATCACGTATCGACCGATTAGAAGCGGCCTCGAGGAGTGGCCACGCGGACAATAACTCGTAGTCATTTAAGGCTAGTGCTGTATGTAGTAGTAGTGAGAAGAGCGGCGATTCGAGAAAATTCAGGCGGGGGTCATTTGCCATCGTAATTTCTCGTGAATAGTTTGTTAGTCAAAAGGGACGGCCGAAGAGAGGGAAGTAAACGACCAGGTACTGAGAAAGGGAAAGGGCAGACACTGCTCTTCCGCTCGCACGTGAGTTCTCTTCAGTTGTCCTTCGGTTATCCGCGCGTTTCCCGGGTATTCGCGAGTATGCAGCCGACACCGAACAAGCTGAACCTGAGCTTCGCCAGAAACGCTTACAGCGTCTTCGGCAGCCGCAACGCAGCTGCCGTGAACGAACATCAGCGCGAGCAAAAGACGGAACTGCTGGAGGGTGAGTAGGCAAGGCGACACGTGCTTCTCGCACGCGGCCGTTGATACTCCGCCGATCTCGTCATATCTCTCTTACTCTGCCACGCAATCTTATCGTGTTTATCGCCGGCAAAGATTACGCCCCCCCCCCTCCCTTTTCACTATCTGCCTATTGTTCCCCGTGATTTAAAGCGAAATCTAATCGAGACAGTGAATTCTTCGTCGACGCGCGTCTCGCAAACACGTTTTACGACGGTCAGCGTGTGAAACGCGGAGAAAGCGTCGTCAGTCGAAGGAGTTCCGCGATCGGCGAACGTTCGCGCGGCGAATGAACGGCAGCTCAACGCTGTAACGTCGATTTCGTTTCAGACAACAAGGCCAACGGCCTCCTGCGCATGAAGAATGGCGTGGACTACATCAATCCTGGTGAGGAAGACCAGATGGAAATTTACGGGTAGGTCGCTCGCTCACGTTACGTCACGCAGATGAGCTCCCGCGCGGATCCGCTTAATCTCCCGTTTCGTTCTCGCAGCTACAAGAAAAATCGCGCGCGCGCCATCATCACCTGGTTCTTCATCGTCATCACCGGAGGTTTCCTCAGGTTGGTCTTCCACTGGGTGCCGCATGTCATGCTTATGGCCACGCACTCCAGCTGTTCGCTGGAGGAAGCGGAAACCGTCCTGTTGATCGAGAGGTTCCAAGGGAAGCACACGAGTTACTACGTGAGGAAGCTGAAAGTCTTAACCGCTCGGGAAGTCGTGTTAGTAACTTTCTCTTCCGGGCGCAACGTCTCCGCGTGGTCGATACTAACGGCCACCTCGTGGTTTCTTTGCAGCAACAAACCCTTCGACGGGGAATCTCTGATCGACAATGAACCGTGGGTGGAGACTCCGGTTACGGTCAAGGAGGATGACGGCCCGATGTTGTCTGTGCATCTCTGCGGCGGCCAATTCAAACGTAAGCGACGACAGTTATTCAGCGTTGTTTCAGCGTTTCAAGCGTAAAACGAGTGCGTTAACGAGAGAGCGTTTCCTCAGAGGTGCCGTCCATCGTCCTTTTCAACTGCAAGAAGCTGACCTACGTCTGGGAGCCGGAGAGAGCGGAATTCCTGAAACTGCGCGGCCTCGACGTCGACGTCTTGACGTCCTCCCTGCACCAAATGCAGGGTCTCAGCGCTCAGGAACAATACATGAGGTAAGAAGTCCGGCTAGTTCCTCGCGTTTCTTCTGCGTCACGTTCGCGTCGTGAGAGAACTAATTGAACGACGGCAGGCGCTGTGTTTACGGCAACAACGAGATCGTCATTCCCGTGAAGGGCGTGTTAACGCTGATCTGCCTCGAAGTGCTCACCGCGTTCTACGTCTTCCAATTGTTCAGCTTCTGCCTGTGGATCGCGGACGACTATTATTACTATGCCGTGGTCATCCTCCTAATGTCGAGCGCCAGCGTCATAATGGCAGTCTTCCAGACACGACGCGTGAGTCACCTCATCGATCTTACTTCTCCCCCTCATCCCCTTCCGGTCTGTTCCGACGATCACGATCTCGTTTCTCCCCGCAGAACCAGCTGAATCTGCGATCGACGGTGTACTCGTCCGACGTCGCCACGGTTATGAGGGATCGAATAACCGGTCAGACCGAGACGGTGCCCGCTGAGCGTTTGGTGCCCGGCGACATCTTGGTCATCCCGTCCCATGGCTGCCTGATGCCCTGCGACGCTGTGCTGTTGACTGGCAACTGCATTCTCAACGAATCCATGTTGACCGGCGAGTCAGTACCCGTCACGAAGACGCCAATTCCTTCCTCCAACGACATAATATACAACGCCAAAGAACACGCCAGACACACGCTTTTCTGCGGCACCAGGCTCATTCAGACAAGATATTACGGGAGTGAGAAAGTGAGTGTCCCTCAAGTGGCGCCATCTCGCGACCTTGAGCTAAGTTTCGGGGAAAATCGTTTCCTTCCGAAATCTCCGCGGAATTTCTTCGTTTCTCGTCTTTTCTACAGGAAACAGCAAATGCGACAAGTTTTAACCGAACACGCGTGAATTTTTCTAAACGAATGTTTCCACCCCTGAAATTGAAGGAATCCGTAGGAAAATCGGGAAACGACGAAACTTGAAAACTACACGCTCAGGTGGATGCCGGTGTTGCTTAGCGACTTCTATAATCTCGCGCGAATTTCAGGTGTTAGCGGTGGTCCTAAGAACCGGCTTCAACACCAGCAAGGGCGGCCTGGTGAGGTCCATCATGTATCCCCCGCCTGTTGATTTTAAGTTCGAACAGGATTCCTATAAGTTCGTCATGATGCTAGGGTGCATAGCCTGCATAGGAGTCATCTTTACCATCGTGACCAAAGTGATGAGGAAAATACCCCCCAGTCATATCACTTTGGAAGCTTTGGATCTCATTACTATCGTGGTGCCACCGGCATTGCCAGCGGCTATGACTATCGGACGTCTCGTGGCGCAACGCAGGTTAGAGAAGAAGAAGATATACTGCACGAGTCCCAGGACGATTAACGTCTCGGGTTCCATCGATTGCATTTGCTTCGACAAGACCGGAACGCTGACCGAGGATGGTTTGGACATGTGGGGCGTGGTGACGGTTTCGGACAGGAAGTTCCAGTTGCCGGTCAAGGATATTACTAGTCTGCCATTATCGGAGGCTCTCATCGGGATGGTTACGTGCCATGGAATAACTATAATCGATAACCAGCTGGCGGGAGATCCCCTTGATCTAAAGATGTTCGAGTCTACCGGTTGGACGTTGGAAGAGCCCGATGTGTCCGACACGTCCAAGTTCTCCATGCTATTCCCGACCATCGTCAGACCGGCGAAGGACTCCAAGTTGTTGAAGAAGCTACCGAACGATTTGTGCGACACGCTCAGCCGACAGAACTCCATGTCTTCCGACGTGGTCGACGGTATATCCCTGAGCAACCTCGACGCCGCGTTCGTCGGCTCCGCGACCGAGCTGACCGATCAGGGCTTGGAGGTGGGAATTGTACGGCAGTTTCCTTTCACGTCAACTCTCCAGAGAATGAGCGTGATCACCAGGACATTGGGAGCGAATCACTACGATCTCTATTGCAAGGGCAGCCCGGAAATGATCCTTAGTCTCTCCAAAGCAGAATCCAGTAAGTGATCCAATGTACTGTGTACATCGCGTCCCGTGTGTCTCGGGACACATTTCACCGAAGAACATCGAAATGAATAACATTCTCTTTCTTCCCGACTAGAAACGCATCTGACCGGCCTGAATCAAAAGCTAACAGTCAGCTAATACGAGCTAGATTAAATTCCCTACTTCGTTACTGGCTGACTAATCACTAAAATGTAGATTCGATTTTGTAGTCCATTCAGCCGTTATATAACAATTATGATATAATACATGGCGCTATCTCTTCTAAAATACATAATCCAGCTACTATACACCTAACATCCAAGAATGATTTAGCAAATTAAAATTGAGGACAAGTTGTTCCAAACAGAAAAAAGTAGAAGTGAGCGTTACATTATTGGCCAGCAGCCGACGTTAGGCACGAATCGATCACCTGACTAGACACCCGCGAAGTTCAATTTCTACTTCAAGTTCTCCCACTTGTTGCAGTTCCTCCGGACTTTGCGGCTGTTTTGCAAGAGTACACATCCGAGGGTTATCGAGTGATCGCTCTCGCTCATAAATCCCTGAACCGTCTTCCATATGCCAAGGTGCAGCGCATGAATCGCGAGGCTGCCGAGATCGATTTGACGTTCCTGGGATTCGTGGTAATGGAGAACCGACTGAAGCCAGAGACCTCGCCAGTAATAGCGGCGTTGAATGCCGCTTGTATCAAGACGGTAATGGTAACGGGGGATAACATGCTAACCGCCCTCTCGGTAGCTAGAGATTGCAACATGGTGAAGCCCGGCACACCGGTGATCGTAGTCTCGACGAACCAGCACAATCAACTGAAACCGCAGATCTACTTCACGAAAAGCGACAGTCAACCGTCGCCTACCTCGCCGAACGGCCAACCCGATCTCAGCGAAATGACTGATCTGAACAGCGTGGTCAGTTTGGAAACGGTCGAGAGCGGCTCCTTCGCTAATACCAAGCTGGAGAACGATATCGATTACCTGTCGAACGAGTAAGCGTCTCTTTTTTTCGGCATTATTACGAGATTCCTTTCATTTCGATCTCACAATTCGAATCTAAATATAAAGATTTATCGAAGCTCGATTGTACCTTCCGCTTCCTTTTCAGCGTACAATATTCCAAGAACAAGTACGTGTTCGCGTTGACGGGGAAAACGTGGGCCACCGTGAAGAATCATTATCCCGAAATGATACCCAAATTGGTCACTCGCGGCGCGATTTTCGCGAGAATGTCTCCCGATCAGAAGCAACAGTTGGTTCAGGAACTGCAGGCCTTAGGGTACTATGTCGGTGAGTACGGGAATAATCATTTCTTTTAAAGAAATATGATGTATTCTGAATTTTTAATCAAATATTTTCTTCACTTCTCCATGCTCGAACGTCTGAACGCGGTGTTTAACCTCTACTTCACCATGCTCCTTTTCAATAATTGATGTTCCGATAGACAAATATTACTTCTTTTTTTTTTCCATTATGCTTTTATGAAGTACAGAACATAGTTTTGGAGTTTTGTTCTGTACTTTCTATACGCGCGTATTATCTGCACTGTGAAGTAGTAATGTGAAGTACTAACAACATTTTTTAATACAATTGACAACCAAACATTGACATATTGACTTGTCGGTACATCTATCATGTCATCAAGAAATTTGTAAGAGTCGTTCTATTTTTACTTTTATTTTTCGCTGAAGGTAGCGGGACGTTCGGTTTTCTATTGATTTTGAATTATATTATAAATAATAATTCTCTACAATGTTTTCGCACCTACATCTGACGTTTGCGTTCTTATTCTTTGCCTGTTTACTTACCCTTTCTGATTGTGTATCACGAGAATCTTTCTTTCGCTTAATTTTAATAATAACTCACAACAAGAATCTCACCACATAAGACTCTGCAGTGAAAAAAATTCAAGTAAATATTTGGAGTATCGGAATATTTTATTATTCAGATTAAGTAAATATTACTTGAATGTAGCGCATTGAAAGAAAAGAAGACGCCACATTGAAGTAATATTTACTTAATCCAAATAAAATGAACCCCGATACTCCTTAGGAAATATTTGCTCGAACGTAGCGATATTTTGCCAGTGAAATGAACACCAATCCTAAAAGTGTCAACGATCTAACGGGAGACTATCGCTTGCAGCCATGGTGGGAGACGGCGCTAACGATTGCGGTGCACTGAAAGCGGCGCACACCGGGATCTCTTTGTCCGACACGGAGTCTTCAGTCGCGTCGCCGTTCACCAGTCGTGAGACCAACATCTCTTGCGTGCTAACGGTGATTCGTGAGGGTCGGGCCGCGCTGGTCACGTCCTTCGGCATCTTCAAGTACATGGCCGGTTACTCGCTCATACAGTTCATCTCGGTGATGAACCTCTACAGCATCGACTCCAACCTGACGGATGTCCAATTTCTGTACATCGATCTTTTCATCATCTCCATATTCGCTTTCTTCTTCGGCCGTACCGAGGCGTACGAGGGCCCTCTGGTGAAAACGCCGCCGCTCAACAGTCTCATCAGCACGTCGCCGATATTCAGCTTGATCACGCACACCGTGATAGTCGGCATCTTCCAGTACGTGGGCTTGTGGCACGTGCGGCAGATGCCGTGGTTCACGCCGTTCAACGCGACCGCACTGGAAGATAAGGACGACGTCGGCTGCTGGGAGAATTACACCATCTTCATCATCAGTTCCATGCAGTACATCATCTTGGCGGTGGTGTTTTCGAAGGGACCGCCCTACAGGAAGTCCCTCTTCACCAACTACGGTCTGCTCACCTCATTTGTGTTCTTGAGTCTTTTCTCCATCTACCTCGCCGTGTGTCCCTTCGAGTGGCTGGCCAACTGGTTCGAGCTCGTGATGCCGGACGACCTCGTCTTCCGCTTCCTCATGGTCGGCTACGGTTTGGCGAACCTCATGGTCGCGCTGTTGGTCGAGCATTTCCTCGTGGAATACCTGGTCTCCGGCAAACTGCGTTACCGTTGGCACGACGTCGACAAATCCCGGCGGAAGTTCCTGGCGATCGAGCGCGACATGGCGAACGACCTCAAGTGGCCGCCGATCTCGCAGGAACCGTTGCCGGAGGTCACGCCCAACGTTCCGATCCGGCAGAACGTCACCGAGATCAAGATCGAGAAGAGGATCGCCGAGCCTTGCCACCCGGCCGACACCAGCTTCATGAACAGCTCGCCGGTCTGCGCCGGCTTCAAGCATTTCGGCTCCGCTCGCGAGGTCACCCTCAATCCCAAGTCCCTCTTCGACCATTGCCGGAATACGGTATCGATGCAGACCGTACCTTGCTTCGAGGACTCGTTGCCGAAGCAGTCGGGCGCTGAACCCGCGTCGAAGCGACGGCACAACTCGGAATCGGAGAACGGCATCAATCGTTATGAGAAACCCTACATGAACCACAACACCAATCCCATCGCCACGCTACCCCGGAACCCGAACGCGACTCTCCAGCCGCAGAAACTGCAGAGGGACTTCAAGGATGTCCTGGTGCACAAGAGCGACAACCGAGTGTCGTCTGGAAACACACACAGCGTGCTCGAATTGGACATTCTGCCGTCCTGAGGGTCGCAGCGCTCGAAAGACCGATCAAACGGTAACTGAACGCAACCCGTGAGACCTTATGATTTCGGAGTATTATTAGATTACTCGCAACCTCTCGTCATTTCGGATCGGCGCGAGACCGACGTCGCGAAAAACCCGATCAATCGCGCGACGTCGCACGCTAGACGCTGCAATCTCGATTCCCTCATCCCCCTTCCATTCGCTATTTGTGATATATCCAGGACATGTATTTCATATCGGTCGTCGACGTATTAGTTTTACGCAAAGAGTCAGCGAGCTCGAGCTACGTCACCGATCAGACGTATCCGAGTCGATGCATTTAGCCTGTCCACCGCTCGGTGGCTAACTTCAAGTCAGGGTTAAGAAGTAACGCGTTGCTCTTTGTTATCGTTACTAGGTGATTTTCGACCAAGTAACGTCTTAAGAATGGCATGCGTGTTTCTTCAACGGTGGCGACGACGCAAGTGAGTTTTGCTTGAGCAAAACGGGAGCGATCGTTACTTTTATCGCTACTGTGCAACACGGAGTACTTTCTGATGAACGGCAGCGGTAACGAGTTACTTTTAAGAAGTAACTTTCCCGATCGTATTGCGAGTTATATAAATGATGTAAATGATAAGAATGAGCCGGATGTAGGAGTAAATTAAAGATAACGTGTAGAGTAGCTCACGTCGCTCAGTTACGCTTAGAGAGAATTAATATTTCGTAACTTAGACGTTGATTCAATTTCTCAGCCAGCGAGCCGTTCTAGCTTCGGCTTATTTTTTAATCACTGATTCAAGCCGGGGTCCCTTTTGACCCGGCCCTCCTTCGCCCTTCCTCTTCTGCCCTCGTTAGTATTCGAAAGCGATATATGCTCGAGAGAAAGTATTATTGTTATTTATCTGTTAAGCGACTATTTTACACGATCTATAGTTCGCGACAAGGATTCTCCTCGCGCTGTGCAATACGGGATAACCTCTTCAGATATTCGCTCACAGAGAATTCTATCGTGAATTACGGGTCGTCCGAAATGGATCTTAGACAAAAGAGCGTAACAGTTGTACATGAGCTCCGTGTTAGGGAGAATCTTCCGGATGCAGCGCGAATTGTATCTCAACAATACACGTAAATGTATTTATTCTTACGTAAATACGTTGTCACATGAGGCTAGAGCGGAACGAGAGCTAATGTCCTTTATCACTGCGGTTACGGAACGAATACTTAAAGAAGCTCGCGTCCTCGACGACGCATACCCCTCGGTTTCAGCATTCAAATCACACACGGGGAAAAGGATTGGTCGAATTAAGGTGACAATGAACACATCGAATGCGTTTTGATCGAAGGAAACGGAATTTCTCGCCCTGAGAATTGAATTTAGTTCATGGAAAATTAGAAATCCCGTCTCCTTCAATCCTTCTCCATGCGCGTATAGTTAGAGCGAATTTAAAATTAATTTCTCTCCTCCTCCTTTTCTCATTCCTTTTCTCTCCTCAGGCGCTATTCGCTCTTTATTTACCCGTGCATTTTTTTACCCTCGAGTTTTATTCGAGTTTCATTCGAGCGATATCAATAACTTAAAACACGTGCCTGTATACGTTGCATTTTATACAACAACGATTTCAATTGTAATAATTGCAAATAACACGTCACACGATAGCAATTGGTTCGTCGTTCGCGCTATCATTTTATCTTGAGGATCATTCCACAGTGGAAAATCAGATCACTGAACTAGAAGCGATGTGACGATGCGGAGAAATTGATGGCTGCTGAGGGGGAGGGAAATGTGTATTACGTATTGTATTTAATAATGTAATTATACCCTGAGTAATCTTCGCAATGTTAAGATAAGATAAGCGAGATACGTATTGTTAAAAAGTAACTATCGAGATGAATGTGTACTTACAGAATGCATGCAACGCAAATAGATACTTAATCGCGTCGATCTATTCGCGATGCTATATAGCTTGTGTTGAAAAGTAGCGGTTGTCAAATAAAACATGTTTTTAATGTAAACCTCGCTGTATTATTTCACCGTTACTTCCCTCCCGTCGCGCAATAAAATTAAATTAAATTAAACGATAACGTTAAACTTTGCATAACCTCTTCAAATGTTTTGTAATGATTATATAATTTTTACACAAACACACACACACACATATATAACGTCATGATTTATCTTGAGATAAATTGAAGAGTGTTTCGATTGATGATGTAAAATTCTGGCGGTCCCCGGGAGAAGAACAACCGATAGAAATGAAATTGGAAACTGAGTGGTAGTATTTATTAAGCGCAAATGCATACGTATATCATACACGCTTAATTTACAGTAACAACATTCACTTCGGTAAAATTACGACATCACACTGGCGGCACCCGCTTGCGTCCATGGAAATACTTATATAATATCTGTGTTAATAGGGAGCGTCAATTCTCTATATCCGTCTCTGAAACAATATTCACGAAAATTCGATGTTACGCTCGCGAGCGCACTAATCGCGCCGCGTCGCTTCCCACGTCGATTCTAAACGTAGATTTCACCTAAGTGATTTTTCGCATATATATATAAGTAAAAATGGCTATAATTTCGTTAGGTATAGTCTTTAATGAAGAATCGTCCGAACTAGCGTCTCATCGAAACTTTCCCGTCGCTGCGTCGCACGTTCTCAGGCGCGATCGCGGATCCTGAAGTCACTCTCGGCATGGAGTATCCCATGCTTGAACTTTGTGTCATGCAAAGTCCGCGGCGAAAGGCGTCTATTGACCCTGCGCTTCCTCCGCTGATCGACGGCATGCTACGAGTTTATGACATACGTGATCCAGTCGACGGTCTTGGCCACGCGATGATAGATCCCCGGTTGACCCGGTTGAGCACAGGAATAACCAGCAGACACTATGCCGATCAAGTACCATCGACCGGTTTTCTCCAGCATTAACGGGCCGCCGCTGTCGCCCTGAAAGCGAAGAAATGATTCGCGCTCTCGGGACGGTGCATTATGCGCGTGTGAGAAAGATAGATAGATAGACAATTTTATTTTGCGCTCTGGGACAGAGAGAGAGGGGGGGGAGGGGGGAGAAGTAAACAGTACCGATTCATCGTGCAAACAAAACGCGCCTATGATGACGAAACGCTTACCTGACACGAGTCCTTACCGCCGCCACGGTAACCGGCGCACATCATCTCGTCGTAGATGACAACGTTGATGCCGTTGGTACGATGCCACCTCTCGCAGACGCGATTATCGATCACGGGCACGTCCACCGCCTGCAGTGTCTTAGGTCGCAGTCTGGAGCCTGAATACCATTTTCAAACAATTCGCGATTGTTAATGAAAAGGGATAATCAACGGATTTTCATTATTAATACACGAATTTTCATCATTAATATACGCAAAACAAGAATTAGTCATAGTAGCTAAACTAAGGACAGCTAATGTCATCGCTACCGCAGGTAAATTTATTAGTCGTTCGAATGAAGTATACAGCGAAGAATATGGTTGTACCTCGCAGCAAACTCTTTTTACCTCTAATAGCTAATGTCGTTATTACCGCAGCTAGATTTATCAGCTATCTCTATTTTAACTGCCACAATTAAATTCTAGATCCTATAGCTAATTCTTTCTTTGCGTGTATATGGAGAGGAAGTCAGAGAGAAAGTCAGTTAAAGAAATCAATATTTCATTTCTCCCTCTTGTTCTACCGTCGGTTTAATATTACAGAAAATATTTCTATTACCTGCATTTAGAGGGATTTCTTCCTTTAAAGAAGAAAAGGAAATAGTAAATTCTAATAAATCATAATTTTTAATTATACTTTTCTACGAATAAGACAAAGAAATCGCAAGTGTCTTTCATAAATAAGGCGTTTTATTAAAATTGCGTTACCTGCTTGTAGAGCACCCCATCCCGCAGCCCAGCCATATTGGCCCAGGAAATCTTCATTCTTTTCTGGTAGACAAATTGGCGTTATATGAGGCATGTAATGAACCGGTCGGTCCAATCGAAGCACAGCTACATCAAATCTATGATAAACGATCGAACGTAAAAAACACGATTCCACGAAATTCATTCTATTTAATATGCAACTCATTGTTGGTCGAGATATATTTAGCAAGTTTCTAGCGAACTAGCGGATGACGAAGTAAACGCACCTATCCGCCTGCGGCGTGAACTTAAAATAAGGGTGCACTCTGATCTCTCGAACACCGAAAGTGTAAGCTGGCAGAGACTCGCTGGCGGAGTTGACCATGTAATCGCCGAGGGTCACCTGCACCTGTCGCGCTGACGCTCTAACGTGCGGAGAATTTAATTATAATTTTAGTTGAAATTGGTTCAGCTAGGTTTGGCCAAGTTTTGACACATTAATTTAGCTAAATTTTAGTTCGGAGAATTTAATTATAATTTTAACGAAAATTTCAGTTGGTAAGAAAACTTGGAACACTTTTAATATTTCTTGATATACTACGTTACTCACTTTGCAACGCAATGTCCTGCGGTGACAACGTGGAACCGATTGACCAATGTGCCGCCGCATCTACTGGATCCGATACGTATATATGCCTGTCGAAGGGAGAAAAACAAATAATGTTAACGACGAAGTTCGAAGCCTGAGGGATGATTCTTGTTTAATTGATCGTCGTATCTGACCTGCCACGGGAAACTACCGAAACCGGCCTCGTCGCCGCCCACGATCCTCCTCTGCGCGATTTGTTTCGAGACCGGTATGCCGCAACCTGGAAAACGCAATTATCTGGATTCGCGAGCAGTTTTAAGGTGTCGTCGTTATAATTAGCGCGACTCAGTCGGGTATAATTACTCGACGCGACGAACTGTGCTAGGATTGCCAAATGTTCCTTTTCGAAACACGACGACACAGGAATCGAGCGAATTCATTTTGAGGGACAATTGCGGTTTCATTTCGCGGTTTCGGAACACGTGGACTCGAGGTGGCAGCAGGAAAGGCATGATAGTCCTAAATCGTAGTATTGATTGCTCACTCATATTAGAATTAGTTAAAACTAAACATTTCACCAATATCTTTAAGACATTGTTTACTTTTTACATTCGTGCTCTATATGATTTAAATTCCTACATGGACAGATTACGTCTAACAGCCAACTTATTGTCTGATTCTGTAGACTTTTTTCATATTAATCTGACAACATTTAAGTACTCAATATTGCGTGCGATTTCTTGAGCCACTTGTTTTCATCATAACACACACACATATTATTAATATTAATATTATCATTATTTATATATTGATCATTTTGTAATTTTTATTTATTAACTTTTATTAATTAATTAACCATCTGTACTAAAGGGCGCTTCCTATTAATAAAGATTATCATTATTATTATTATTATTATTAACATAATTATATGAATGGAGACCAATTAAGTGTTGTTTACGATAAAATAATAGACTAATAAATAAGACTTAAATAATGAAAGACTAAAAAAAAAATATCGGATCATTCTACATATACTAGGACATTTGGCAATGCTAGTTGTGCCGCAACCTGTGATTACAATAACGCGCAGTAGCGCTTAAACGCGGTTTCATTACGATCGACGCCTTTAGAGCGGGATCGCGCGTTCCGGCTGTTGAAAGTGTGAAGTAATCGATAGCAATAAAAAAAAAAAATGTTTCTTCCCGCTGTTACATCGCCGAAATTGGACTTGGAGTAATACGGTGACTCGCGTTAATAGCGCTCCTTCCGTCCGATTTCATTGTCGAAGCGCGGTTCGTAATTGCGTGCAATAATGTTATTACGATGGTATCCTATTGAGTAACTTTGAACGTTACATCGACCACTCATGTTCTCGAATAAGTAACCCGATAAATAAAAGGAAAAAGGAACGTTATTCGTGATAAGAGATCTCGAGAATGAATCAAGCTTTATATACGTTAGTAACGTAAAAGCGACAGTTCGAGGTGATGCTCTTCGACAATCATAGTCTCATTACGACGGATTATCGACTTTGTAGACGTGCAATCATGCCATGCATCACTGATTATTATTCCCTGAATCAATACGCCTCGAGAGAAGTGAGAATTCTGAATCTTTGTTAACTCACTTCGTCAGCTCTTTGTTAACTTAAATCTTTGTTAAAACGCGTTTGGTTACGATTCGTACGACAAGGGAGACGGAAAGTTTTCGATTTTCCTAGACCATTCTTGACTCGTTTCTTCGATTACTTGGACGCGTCTAAGATACGTCTTTCAGTCGGCTGCGTGATTTCGGGAAAAATCCATGCGCTTATTAGTGCGTTACTCGACGCAGAGTAAAAGTGTTCTCGCGCGAAAACGGGCGTAGAAAACGGGCGTATGGCCGCGTTGTCGCGAATGCAGCGAAGCGTTTTACCGTGTCGATTATGAGAAAGAGCCGGATTGCGGATCGCCAAAGTTTTACGAGCCGACAGAAAAACCGCGTTTCACCATCGAGAAGATTAATCCATGGATGACGACGGTCGATGTTATATTACGTTCGTGCGCCTGTCGCGCGCTTTTCCTCTTTTCATCATAATGCCATCCCTTCGTGAGATCTACGATTTTTTTTATCCGTGTAGACTTTTTCGCTCGTCGTAGAGCTGTGTCTCTTTGCGTGGATCCTTGCGATTTTAACTGGACCGTTTTTACATACGCGACGGGAAACGGAGTAGAATGTGTGAGAGAGAGAGCGAGAGAGAGAGAGGGAGAGATTGACGAGACTTTGCAGTCGTTAACGGGGAATTTAGGCGGATATTGAGCGGAAACATGCCGTTCCGACATCGAAAAACCAATCTCCGGGCGAACATGCACAGGAAGGCGGAAGTCGGTGGTGCATGCGTGGGTCGTGTACGTGGAAACTTAAGAATGGAGAGACAAAGGGACACACGTGAGAAAAATACATTCGAAAGAGAAGGAGAAACTGTGCTACTGAAGGAGAGAAGAAAGGAGTCAGGACGAGACGTTTCTGGCGAGGAAAGCGTGCGCTTTCTTGAAGTAGAAAAAACGAGGAACCGAAGGAAAACGGTGGTACATGCTCGGTGCACATGCGAGTGCTCGTGGGTAGTGATGCAGTCTAACGATGATGAGATACAACGGACCAGAGAGAGAGAGAGAAATAAAGAAACAGGGGAAGAACTCATGCTTTCGGTGTGCGCGCGAGTGTGTGCAAAGTGTACGGAAGGCATGCGTTTTCGAAGGAAGGACTTACGATCGTCGCTGGCGGTCTCCGTGTACAAATCCAGCGGAAGCGGCCGAGACTGATCTCTAGGCGACTCGATCAGGTTATAATCAGTGAGAGCTTTAGGGTCTTTCCGCTGACAACACGCGAACATAATGCCGCCGCAGCTGCCGTCCAATAGGCCAGCAGACATCCAGCACATTAGAAAAAATTCGCAGCTCCGTCCGTCCGCGCACAATGTATCGTCGCCTTTCCAAAGCGGCCTTTTTTGTTGGCGCGTCTCTGCAGAAAATACGGAAACTTGTCTCTTTCGCCTCCTGCCTCGCGACTGCCGGGAGGAAGTTATGAGGCCCGGCCGGAAGAGGAAGAAGAAGTCCGAGAAAGCCCGAGAGCACGTCGAAGAAGGTGGTCGCGTTGCGATTCTTAAGCGAGCTTCCGATTTATCTTCGTTCGTTATTCACCGAAATCAGGAGAGCTCGAGCTCGCAAAAAGAAAGCAAGACGAATGTGTGGATCTTCAGAGCGAATCTCTCCCCACTTAGACGCTGTAAAGTCAATCAGCTTAGACACTCGTGTCCGCCGCGCATTAACATCCGTCGTATCACACGTGTGATTCTGATGTACCTTTGACCGCCAGTCTGGAAAATAGACTGCCTAAGGAGCACCGATTTTCCACTGATTTTCGACGTTTGGTTATTATAATTGCGATCGATGTACGATTAATCGGTAGCCACGCGCGAGGGAAACTCGCATTTACTTCGCCGATTACTCCAAGTATAACTTCGGAATACGAAACGAGCTGAAGTCCAAGGCCGGGCGCGATATCACAGAATGACATTGAAATTGTGCAACTATTCGTGGGAAATTGGCGTATTTCTATTTTATCTGTAAGAATTAACCGTAGATTCTTCCGGAAGGAGTGAGGCGCCCTGGCGGAAATTTGCGGTAGCCGAACACATTTCCAACGGAACATTGATACTCTCTGCGTTAGAGATTGCGAGTAATCCAACGGTGTGTAAAATATACGCTCAATCTCGTCACGTCGTGAAGTCATTCCTGTGGAATCGTACCTCGATTTAGGCAGGTCGCGCGAGACGAGCACGAAGGGTTCGAGCGGTCCTGCTGAAATCCATCGGGAATGTCCGAGGCAATAAGTGCGATCGATAGAAAAAGTATCGACGCGATAATGCCGATCGTTTCTCCCGACACGGTTCCGTAGAGGGTCGACGGTTTGGGCAATCGTAAAAGGACCAGCCCGGCATGACGACGACCGGCGGTAAAGCGCGACGTTGACGATGTCGTAACGATTTCCGGGTCTCGGACCTCGACGGAAGCCGTCGACTCTGTGCTGGAAATAAGTTTCGCGCGCCACGACCATTACGCTCACGTTGTGCGACTAACCGTCCGATTCTTACGGGTACACGCGAGAGAGACGAGGTCGTCGGAGGACGATTACGATGTGGTCGAGAACCGAGTAGGTTGTCGCGAACTTGGACGGAGGCTCCCCGAAGCGACGTCGTTGACGGCTAGCTATATTGATTTTCCCGACGCGCACGTACCTGTTTCCAATCTAGGATAATCCTCCGGCGTCTGCTTCCGGTGATCTGAAATAAAGACAGCGTGTTCGTCCGGAAGAAAGATGGATTTATCGTAAATCGCGGTGAGAAGACCGTTTCCTGTGAGATATCGTTTCGGTGAAAAGGCTTCCGATTCGAATTAATTGTTTCAAGTCACGGGACGATCGAAAATATTAATATGAGGATTGATCGATTCTTCCGTTTCGGTAGGCATTTGAAAAGTTAAATAACGTCTGGCACCTTTCACGCACGTGAATTCGATGTTCATGGAAATAAATGAACGATCGTTAAAGTTTGTCGCGTGAGACCGGCATTACGTATCATACGCGCTTATGGGCGCGAGTTATTTCACTCGATCGTACCGGAGAGTATACGAGTCGGTTCGTTTGCAATTGAAATGCTTCGAAAGTTCTATATAGCGCGTCATTTGCATTCGCACACTTGTCTAAGCGCCTAGTCGATGAAGCGTTGTTTGCACGGTGAAGCGTGTTACAGAAGCGACGGGATTACGCGAGCGCACGCGCAAAGAAAAGAAGAAAGCAAGAGGGGATACTTCATTAAGCACTCCAAGAAGAGCTTTAGCCGCGATAAACTCGATTTGCATCATTATATTAAACGGCTCAACGTGATCGAGCATTACGAGCGCTGAGCGCCCCCATAATTTCTAATATTGTCGTTTATCACTTAAATTGCGGCTAATTTATAATACTCGGCTAGTTGAATATAAATTGCGAAAGAAAATCGAAAAGAGAATGTTCACCCCTCGTTGAAACGTTCTTTCTTTCAAAGTTGTTGAACGACCGGGATGATACAAATAATGAATCCTGTTATTCCAAAATTATGTCGCGATCGCAAAGTTTTATATACAAAGTATCGGACTCAGACCGTATCATCCGTCATATATTTATGGTTTAAATTGTAATGTGAATAAAAATGTAATTCATATTAAAAGAAAATTTATTGATAAAAAGAAAATTTTTCTCATTTTTAGTAAACCGTTCGCTTGCATACAACGTGTGAACGTATTTTTTAAATAATTTGTTTACTTGTTTAATGAAAATAATTTTTCTACTAAATTAAATTATTCACCAAATGTAAAAAAAATATTTCCTATAATACAACTAATATCTATTAAAATGTAAAAAATACTTACTGCTACGTGTTAAATCTTTCATTCTTTTTAACTAATTTTTATATTTATTACATCGTTTTTAATACGTTGCTTAATATTTATATAGTGCGTAAATATTAAAAAAAGAATTACATTCTAATTTGTACACTTCGACTTACTATAATCAAGTAAAGAAAATTTATACTTTTATGTTTATAAAATTTATATAATTTATATTTATAATTTTTATTTATAATGAAGACGTATATTTCAAACATTATTTACTAAATTATATTTCAGTAAATATATTCATTGAAATTAAGAAAAACTTTTTCTTACTGCAGATCAGGCCATTCTGAACAAAAAGTCCTTCGCTACTTTACAATGACTGCGCAAATTTCTAAGTTATTTAAAGAGTTAATTAAGGAATCCTCTCTATATATGGCCGGCATTTCCAATGATTAACGACTCGAAATTTTGCGTGGCTGTCTCCATCCATGACAGAAGACTTATGTTTACATTGATCTAAACCAAGTACATTGCTGCTTGCGTCAGACACCCTGTATAAATTCAATCAAGAAGACAGAAGCAATGCACGATACGTAAGCCAGCGCAATTAAAAGAAGCGAAGGAAGAGAAAGGAAGGAGCTCTTACCTCGGGCGTCATCCTCGAATTCTGGCAGCTGATTTGACTGCTGGAAGAAGGAGGCCGCGCCGCCTCCCGGCGGCAGGAAGTCGTTGTCTCGGAATATCAGGCGCGGGGTTCGATGGGCCATCACCGGTCTGTTGTAATCGGCGACGGGGCTTCTCCAGAGGGATTTGTGTTGCCGCCACGAGGGGAACTGGACCTGAGGTGCGAATCGCGCGACCGGGTGCGGCCCAAGGTTCCTGCCGAGCGGCGGGCCGCCGTCCAAGAAGTAAGCCGAAGGCCCAGTGGGATATCGCACGTATCTTCGCGGGCGAAGCGTCGCCACTCCGGTGCGATTAGTCTCTCTTTTTAGCGCGTCGATGACCGAGGAGGGGTCGAAGCTCGACAGCTGCTGGGTCTCGTTCGCCAGACTCGAGGAGACGGTAAGGACGACCGCAGCGAGAAGCCAATGGCGCGGCCTCGATGCACCCATCGTTTCGCTGCGGGCAGAACGCGTCGGGACGTTTAGAAATGAACGAGGCGACGCTCGGCGAAAGAAACACTCGCGACGATGCAAATGATTCGGCGAGTATGAAAAGTGGAAGAAAGTGGAAAAATAGATTAATCGCCGGCGGCGCAGCGAGAGACGCGCACGTGCGAGAATCCGAGTCACCTTTCCACGCACGATGATGCTGGGAATCTTAAACAATCTGTCGCTACTCGAGGCGGACCGATTTTCTCTTCGAGTCGAGTTTCACGAGTCGTTAATCATCATCGGGCGCCATTAGAGCACGTGATTCCCGGCGAAAGGAAATGCGCATCGCTCGGGCTTGTAATCAGACGGAATCCTCTAAGATTTTGCTTCGAATGTCGAGGAATGCCCGCCTCTGTCTACAATTATCAGGTTGCGGCCGGTCGCGAGCGGCCGAAGGGGGAACTTTCTTTTGGCACGGCTCGTTCGCGAGCGATGTTTCTTTGCGCGAAGCTACGAGGTGTGAAAGCGAATTACATAGAGATAAATTTTAAGATGGAACTGAAGCAAAATCTCTCTTTCTCCGTGGGCAATCCTATCGAAATAACTCGATGAATATTTAAGGTCGTCCTTTCGCGCTCCCGAAAGTAAATTCTCCGCGCAGCTTACATTTTTATTCTCTCGTGCGCCTCGTCAATTGTCAACATGTTCTGTCCGCAAGGTAAGTCCGCAGTCTCTTCGACATTTTCATTGCATCGTCTGTGATTCATATTAGACGTGGAACAAGGAGATCTCACGTTCAGGTAACGCAAACGAAACAACGTGGAAAACAACTTCCTCAAAGCCACCCCCCCCCCTCTCACCGGTAGAATTCCTCTCGACGCGACGAAATCCAGTTTGCGTCACGATCCTCCGTAACGAGTGAAAGTAAAGAAGTTCACCCGGAACCGAATATCACGACGTTTACACACAAGAAGACCCGTCGTTCGGACTCGCGCAGCATCCTCGTCGAATGAAATTATCGCCCGATCAGGAACGTCAGCGGGAGAAAACGACACATAGTCGCTGAGATGTAATCAAATACTCTCGCCTAGCTGCGCGAATGGTGATCTTCGCGTGGGCCTCGCGGAAACTGTCGGGGATAATCCCATGCGAAGGAGAAAAGTTAATTGAATTAATGTGACAATGGACCAATCGAATGCGTTTTGGCCGAAGAAAATAGAATTTCCGGCTCTCGCACGGCAAATTTAGACTCTCATAGAGTCAGAAAAATTACGTTTCCTTCGACAAAGACGACGTTCGGCTCGTTCATTACCACGTGAATTCAACCGATCTTTTTTTTTTTTTCCGTCAAGTGAAAGTACCAATGCCTGGACACGTATCTAACTCTGAGCATTCTTATTGCTTTGATCTCTAAATGTGAATATTTATACTCTCAATATAGAACAATATAATATGTAGAATATATCTGTATATATCTTCCACGTTGAAAATTTTAATCTTTGCATTTAAAGACCGAAATAACAGGCACAGGTATTTTTACCTCGCGGTATTCTCGTAGCAGACGAATCACTTTCGAATTAGCGAGGAGTCCCCGGATGCAATGCGTAAGAAACAAATTCTGCAAAGTCCTGCTGTGAAGCAGAAATTCGCGAGATCCGCGGGAAGCACGTGATTGGCGTTGATGGATCGTTTACTTGACGTTCGATCTAGTCGGGCAGCGACTTTCGGAGGAGCAGGAGGAGCAGCCGAAAGGAGAGAAAAAAGGCGGGGAGGATATAATTGTTCGTTGGATAATCCCCGGTGGGCGGCCTTGCCGGACCAACAATCGTGGCGCGAGGTGAACGGTTCGATGTGTTAGTAGGTCATTGGCTCTCCGTCGCGTGGATCCACCAGAAGTGAAAGTGCACTTCTTGCGTGCGCGACGGTGTGAAGTTCACGTTCACGCAGCCGGCCGTCCCGGCGTACCAGCGGAAGTTACGAATCGCTGCTCGCTGACTCCTCGGTGCCACCCGTCTTTGTTCTTCCCGTTATCCCCTTTGTCCCAGCTTGTCGAGCTTCGTCGCGAAACGCCATGCAAATGCACGCGAATCTGTTGCGCCGCGGAATTTCACCGTGAAAGTGTTCGATTATTACAACGCGATCGCCTTTGTGCCTGGATCTTCATAATTCCGCGATCGCGATTTCTTACGTGGTCTTCGTCTTTCCTTCAGCGAACTATACCGGCCGGCGAAACGCTGCAATTTCCTTTACATTCGCCCGCAACCCGATCGACCGTGTCCTCGCTTTTGTGAAATGACCGCGCGCGCTTTGAGTCGCGGAAATGTGTTACAACGTTGAATGTATTGTTGTTATGCGGGGCAATATTTATATATCATCTCAGGTAGCGAGACATCGTTCGCTTCATTTCTCCGTCATGCTCGTAACGAAACTGATCTTCCGAGATCTTCACGTTGAAATGTCGTAAGACCGATGGTCTTCCGTCGCGTGACGTTACGTATCGGCGTCGAAGATACGGCTCATTTAACCAGTGACATCGGTCGGAGATAACGTTGATACGATTTCACGAGGATGTGACAAAAGGCCCGCCGAAAGAATGACCAACAAATACCGCCAGGTAAGACATCTCGCCAATACAACGGTTGAGTTCTCCCAACTTCCCGTCGCCTTTTCATTCCTTACTGCAGCCCACAACTCTACTCTAAGTCTAGAAAATTCAATTACCGCAATTTACCGCAGGATAATATGACGTCGAATTAATTTCTGCGGCCCGAAGAGCCCTGTATTCGCTGCAAGAAACTCCAACCGCAGGCTATACCGCATCACCAGCTGGAGACGCGGCGCGCGTCCGTTTCCAGCTGTCAGTGAAAGCAACGTACGCACGTACGCACGCACGTGTAAGCACCCACACGGATCGACGGCCGTATTCTTTTCCCCCGCCCGGTGATCCGCGAGCCCGCGATATTCGAGTCCGCGAGCGCGGTCTTGAATTCCGCGTTCGACGTTAAAAACCGCCGCGGAACCATCGCTTTCTCCGGGCGGCGCGACGCAAGCTTACTTTCCCCGAAATCGAAGGACAATCGTCCCTCTCGTGCGTTCCGCTGCCAGGATCAGCCGCGATTTTCCTTCGGCGCACTGCCTAATAGCTAAAGTAACAATGCAACCGGCGAAGCGTCACGGGGAAAAGCTCCACGCGCCACCGAGCCACGACGATCCGGCGATGATATACAAGGCCCGGAATTATATAATAAAAAGAAGTTAATTGGTGGCAATTTTCCGGACGCGAGGCTGCACGGAAAAAAGAAGTAGCTCCCACAGATAAAAACTAGCTCTCACAGTTAAAAAGTGGTTCCCGCGAGTAGAAATTAGCTGTTCGTATAACACAACTGAAATGGAGTTAATTTGGATAATTCTTTGACTCCTGTATCCAGTTTCTAGCTTCCACAGCTGCAAGCTGGATCCGGTAACTAAATTTCAGTTGTGTTATGTGCACAGCTAATTCCTATTTTCTGTACATCTGGACACGTGTATCCCCATTCTCCCGCATTCATCGTGCGGACGCGGCTAATTTTCCGTGTAACGTGTACGTAATGCGTAATGACAACTCCACGATATCCCGCCTTCGCTAATTATTAAATTTTGAAACTGCCTCTTATGTTTTTCCACTAAATATCCCGTCATCGCCTGCATTGTCTGCTTGAACGTCACGTAGTCGAAGCTCCTTTTTAATCGTGGATATAATATTGCCGTTCTAATTTTTATTGATGCAAAAGTTCGATCCGTTTTGGTAATCAGTTTTTCATTCAGAAATCCTAGAATTTCTACGAGCGCAAGATCACGCAGCTGCCGAAGAAATGACAGATCATCGAGCAGAACAGCGCATACTTAAAAAAATATGTTAATTATGTTTTAAAATAAATAAATGTTATATATGTACATTTTGATGAAGAACGGAAGGAATTTTTGAAACGACCCTACATCCCGATTTTTTTCCGAAAAAATCGAATTACTAATTAGTACCTCGCATTAATTATTCGTCTTATAATATCTCTTATTATTGGCCTCATTAATACATTGACCGGTAAACACGAGTCATCTCGTAGCCGGTGCATAAATTTTCTGTTCTATACACCAGCTACAAATTCATTCGCACGGATTCCTTTTTATGAGTTTTGCTCAATGATAAATCTAATTAATTAGCACAGTAAAACCTAATAATTGCTTGGCATACATATTCAGGATTAATTGATCGCTATTCATCAAGTCCGTTAAAGAGGTTCTTGCGCTAATATTTTCGATAGTAGCAGATCAAAAAGATCTTTCACAAATTTACTATTTGTGAAGCAAAATTTCTTCACTATACATTTATTTCATTAATCAAATAATAAATGTTAATTTGAAACAAAACCGAGGTAAATATATATACACAATATTATAAATACGAAAATATTGTCTTCTATTTTTCTTATTAACGCTGCATTTATGCATCAGTTAATCTAATAGAGATTAACAGATAATAGAAAGACGTATATAAGTGTTTATATAAGCGTTTAAATATATGCGTTAAACATAGATATCTTGAATATTACTATAAATTATCCACTACTATATTTTTCAAATGAAACAGTCAATAATTTTGAAATGCGTCTGTAATATATGTATATTAGTCTTTAATATTATACTAATTTTTTAAACTTCTATCTTATACGCAAATATGTCAAGTTGGGAGAAATTTCGTGAAATTCCTTGAAATGATGATAGTTTCTATGCTTGCAAACGTACAAATTTATTATTAGATATCTCGGAAACGGTACAGCAAAGATTATCATTACATTTCTGTTACGCATTGTTAGTTCGATTAACTTTCATATCACGTGTACATCGCAGATTTATCTCGCATTTGATCAAACACTAGAATCTCCTCAACGTCGTTACTTTCGAGCTAGGAACGATAAGTTGCCCGCGTAACGCGCCTCCACGGCCACGTCCAAAGCTCGACTCGGCTCGGCGCGTTTCGAAAA